TGAACCACATGGTAGTTTTTTTGTTTTTTTTTTAAAAAGAATTATTTTATTGGGGCCAGCTGGTAGCGTGGTAGTTAACATGCTGGATTCCCACATGCCCAACCACGGTTCAAGTCCTAGGCCTGGTGGCTTGCTTTCTCACTTTCTCTCTCTCTCTCTCATTAAATTAATTAAATAAATAAAATAAAGTAATTCTAAAAAATACTTTAGAATTACTGCTAGAATAAGAAATTGTCTTTAAAAAATTATTTTATTTAATGTTTATTTATTTATTTATTTTAATTTGACCAGACAGGGGCATAGAGAGAGAAAGAAAATGAGAAAGCAAGCCATCAGGTCCGGGACTGAAACTGCACTCGACCATGTGGGAGTCCAGCGCCCTTGACCACCACATCAACTGCTGGCCCCCTCAGCAGGTTTTTTAGAAGTAGCTAGCTTTAATAAATAGGAAAGAGAATGACACAAACAAATTTCAGAGAAATGTAGTAACTTAACAATGGAATCAAAATGTCCTCTCTTAAGGAAACTTCCTATTTTATTAAACATGAGAAAGCCGGTTATACCTTGAAGCCTATTAGAAATAAGCATATAAAAGAAATAGAGTCTATCGATAAACAGACTGTTTTACCAACCGTCCTTTCTTCTGTTCTTTCACTAGTACTACTTAGGACCCTACGTTTTTATTATCTTCACCGTCTTCCTCATTTCATTCTTGATCTTCACCTTCTTCAAAGTCCCTGAGACCCGTGGCCGGACTTTCGAGGATATTACTCGGGCCTTTGAAGGGCAAGTTCAGGAGGCCAACAGATCCGGAAAAACCTCCGCTGTGGAGATGAACAGCATCCAGCCTGTCAAGCAGTCTACCGCCAATGTCTAAGCCATGCCTCCCTCCACCTCCCTCCCAGCACGGAAGAGCAACCTCTCCCCGAATACGGGGGAGACTTCATCAGGGTGACCCCGGACTGCTTCTGAATGCTGCTGCTGTGATTCCTTTCTCATCCCACACACTTCCATGAGCACTCAGACGTGCCCAGTGCTGGAGTTAGTTGGATCTTCAGTGGCTTTTTAAATATTCATTTCTTGGACATTCTCTCCTGTTTAGGAGAGACCAGGTGAACTACCTTCACTGCAGGAGGGACTGGCCACTTGGCGCGTGACGACCTTTGCCAGCTCCTCCTTTTCGTTAGGTTCTGATGTTGCCCCTCTAGTGCATCCAGGGGCGTGAGAGGGAAGGTGCTTCCCCCAGCCCGAGACTCCCTAGGAAGCAGATACCCAGGAGGATTTGAGGGCAGAGAGGGACTGACTTAAGAGAGCGCCTTCTTCACTTCTACACAGCTCTGCACAACAAATTAACACGAGTTTTATTTATTTTTATCTCTGGTTTAATTGCATAAATATTTATTTTTTTAAATGTAAGGGAATTTTACCAAATAATGAAAACAGAAAGAAACTGAGGTTAAAGGGAGGTGTTTAGGGAGAGGTAGGGTAGAAGGATTTGGTTCTGGCGAGGTGAAGATGCAGTAAAGGATGAGTTTAGGAAGAAGTGTCTGTTATGGTTGGGAACGTGATGGGTGGTCCCCAAGCTTTGGGTATCGCCTCTTCACAACTTCTATCCTCAAGTGGAAGCTAGTTTCTCAGAATAGTCACATGCCTGTACAAAAAAGCTACTGGTTTTCTTCAGGATGTTTTTCTTTACGAGTATAGTTTCTATGTAGCATTACTTGAAATCTAGGACTGTTACTAAGATGGGCGTTGTAGTCAATGGGATTTGATGGGTTCTCATTTTAGATGGGAGTCCAGAACGAGCAGGTTATTTTTAGAAAGCCTCTCCCCTCTCATTGGACTGAACAGTTCCTTCCCGTCTAGTGGACTCCCATCTTAAAAGTAATCCCACCACCCATCCAGTGAGAGAGCCCTCCAAATGAGAAACTGGAAAGAATTGGTTCTTGGTAGGAGTTCAGTATTTTTCCATTTTGTTCTTTAGGAGATTTGTAGGTGTTGGTTTTTGTCTTGTTTTAACCCACAGCTTTAAAGGGATGGAGAGAATGTTCATAGCTAACTGAATTGTAACCTCAGCTCTGGGAGAGGCTTTTTCTTGAGTAGTTACCGTCTATTTAAGTATATCGTAGGTTATGGGTCACAGCATGCTCCCCTGTGCCTGCTACCGTAGCTCATTGCCCCTGTTGCCATGGTACTGTGTCCGGTGCCCTGCGGGGCTCGATCTGTGGTAGACCACACGCGCGCCAGTGTGAGCGCGGCATTGTGAGCGCTGCAGTGTGGCCCCTCGGTAGGGTCTGAATGTATGTGCGCTGCCACTTTCCTCTGGGCGGACAGAGCTTATTGGGGACTTGCTGCCTTCACTGGGTGGAATGTATTAAACTCATCCTCCTGTATATAAATAACACTGCCTGCCTGGGTGGGCCTTACATCCAGAACCTTCGCATCCAGGTGACTCATCTGGCTACCACTGGGCGTCGGGGGGAGAACTTCCTAAATCTAGAGGTTGAGGAGGGAGGGCTCAGCCTCACCCAGATTCAGGCCACAGGGACAGGAAAGAGAGAGCAGGGCATTTGGCCTCTCGGGGGCCCTAGTGGTGGAGCGGAGAGCAGGGAGTTCATCGAATGGGTAAGAAATCAACAGAAGACTTGCTTCCGACTCCGGAGCTTGCAGGTTAGAGGAGATGGAGGGATTTGCCGCTGCAGGTCACAGACGTCCCCACGGTCTCTCCTACTGTCTCAGTATTTCGGTAAATGGAGATTGGGTCCTGGTGACAGTCACCCTCTTCTTTCCTGCGTTGATCTCCCTCTCCCTCCTTGGTGCTTACACATTTCCGACTCTTAGACAGCCCCCTGCCAGTGATAGTATTTCAGTTCTCGGTTCCCACATTCCCTCGGCCCTCGAGTCTGGAGGGATCAAGACTCCCGGGGCTGTGTGCAGGGCTTGACTGGAAAAGGCAACTCCCCTGGCCGCACCTCCGCTGCCTGCTCCTCGGCGGCAGGCTGGCAGTGTTACAGGGTGGCGTTTTTCTTATTTCTCGGTGACCAAGTTGTGACTATTTCCATATGAATTTTCTATTATTAATGTTACTGTGGTTCTTTGTTTTGAAATAAAAATTCCGAATGTACCTATGGCATCACGGTCTTAGTGTTTGTGTCGTTTCTGTGACGAAATCAGCGTTCGGTCCTGGTTTGCCCCATGGTCGCTGTTGCGAGCTCGAGCAAGGTTTTCCAGAGTCTCCTGCACTGAAAATAGCTACGCTTCATTTTTGCTGATTGAATGAAAGAGCCTTACTGCATTGCTCTCATACTTAACTGCTGCCGCTTGCTTTCTCCAGAGAGCATCGGCTGCTTTCTTTCTGTTCTTTTCTCATGCTTTTCTCTACTTCCTTCTGCTTCCAGTCTTTTCTCTCTAAAATTTACAGTCTTCGGGGGATCTGTATATTTGCTACATTATATAAAATCCTTGCTTTATTTTTTTCTAAGAATTCTTTTTATTTAACTTTGTTATTTTAACTTCACCAGAGAAGGACAGAGAGAGAGAGAGGGAAAGTGAGAAAGCAAGCTGCTAGGTCTGGACCTTGAACCACAGACCGGCTGGACCTAAAATCCTTGATTTTTTTTAAAAAGTTTTTTTAGATTTTAGCCATAGGGCACCTGTACTCCCCTGAGAGAGACAGAGAGGGACAGTGAGAAATCACATGGAGGAGGGTCTGCACCACGACCCCTGCTCCATTCCCCTGGGATTTGGGGTATGTACATGCTCGGGGTTTGCACGTACATGTACTGGCCATGATGTTCAGGCCTCTGGGTCCAGGACTTGAACCAGAAGAGTTGGCCATGTCCGATCCAGTGCCTTAACCACCATGCCATCTGCTGGTCCCTATAAAATCCTCTGATAGTTTCCAGTCAACTACAGAAAAACGCTTAGGCCCTTCCCAGTTACACAACGCCTTGCAGGGGTGGGAGGGAGTCGCCACTTTTGAAGCTGGGTTTCCAATTTCTTTCCCAGCTCCCATCCACATGAGACGTCATCCACTACCACCTTTGTCCACACCCTCATGCCTGTCTAGAAGTTCTGACATTCGTTCATCTACTAAAAACACGTGAGCGGCTGGGGTCGGCAGGGGCTGTGGTGGTCCGCTGGACTCCCACGTGGCCGACTGCGGTTTAAGTCTGGGTCCTGGTGGCTTGCTTTCTCACTTTCACTTTTTCTCTCTGTTTGCTTCCTTTCCCTTTTTCGCTCTCTCTGGTCAAATTTAAAATATATACATACATAAAATATGAATATTTTTTAAAAGAGGTTTGTCCTTAGGGTATATGCACTTCCGGGGTGGGGGGGGGAAGAGAGACGAAAGGCCATCTGCTGGCCCCAATATTAATCATTCTTTAAAAAATAATACTTGAGTGGCTACCTCTTATTTCTGCTCAGCCCAGGCGTGAGCTCTGTCCTTTACACTGGCACCACGTATGTCCTCAGGAGACAAAGGCTGAGACACCTCTGGCTGTCCCACAGGCGCCTCAGAGGGTGCAGCGTTCGTTACTAACTGTTCACCGTCTCAGCTCCTTTCTCCACCTTTGCTTCCTATGGTCATTCTACATAACAAGAGCGATCTTTCAGTGGGGCCAGCAGTTGGCATGATGGCTATGTCACTGGACTCCCACATAGTTGACTGCGGTTCGAGTCCCAGACCCAGTGGTTTAAACTTACGCCAGGCGCGTGTGCGTGCGTGCCCAAGATCCCGAGAGGAAAATGGAGGAGAAGGGATTGTGGCGTGGCCATCCCCCCGGGGGGTGATTTCTCCCTTTCTGTCTCTCTGTCTCTCTCAGCCTTTCTGGCAAGCACACGCGCCCTATAGCAAAAACCTCTTCCCCCGAAAAAAAGAGTGATCTTTCAGAAACAGGCCACATTACTCCCCTGCTTAAAGCTTTCCAGTTATATCTTTTCTTTTTTAGAATTATTCATTTATTTAATTCCATTTGTTACAGTTGTTTGTTTGTTTGTTTGTTTGTTAATTTGAGCAGAGAAAGAAAGGGAAAGTGAGATAGCAAGCCACCAGGACCAGGACTCAAACCGTGGGCAGCCATATGGGAATCCAGCACCTTCAAACACCATGCCATCTGCTGGCCCTCCAGTTACATCTTATCACTTAAAATAACACTCAGACTCATTTACCATGGCCAGCAGTGTGAGGCCTACATATGACCGTTTACTCCTATCAGCATGGTCTATTTTTCTGTCAACTGCTTTTATTCATTCTCAGAATTACCCAGGCTACAAGATAGTTACCCTCACCTAAAAGGCTTGCCTCTTCAACTTCATCTCCTGTTACCCTCTTTGTTTGCTGAAAAGCTCCACTGGGGGGCGAGCAGGTGTCCTGGTGGTTAAGGCACTAGATTTCCACATGCTCAACAGCAGTTCAAGTCCCAGACCTGGAGACTTGAAAATCATGCCAGGTACATGTGCATGTGTGCCCAAAATCCTGAGAGGAGAATCGAGTGTTGTAGGAAGGCTTCTGTGCTGATACCCAGGCTCTTGGTGTTTCAGACAAAGAACTGAACAAAACACACAAAAAGTGTAAGGAAAACATAGTTTATTAAGTAAGAGTTAGGAATGAACCTGAGCAGAAAGAGAAAGACTGGCTCAAAAAAGCCTCATTGGGGACCAGCAGTTAGTGTAATGGCTGTGTCGCTGGACTCCCATGTAGTGGACCGCGGTTCGAGTCCTGGACAAGGTGGCTTAAACTCTCGCCAGGCACGTGTGCGTGTGTGCCCAAGATCCAGAGAGAATGAAGGAGAAGGGGTTGTGGCGTTGCCATCCCCCCGGGGGGGGTGATTTCTCACTTTCTGTCTCTCTGTCTCTTTGTCTCCCAACACAGTCCCCCTAAAGCAAAAACCCCTCCAAGGGAAAAAAAAAAAAAAGTTTCAAGGAAAAAAAAAAAAAAACCTTGTCAGCTGCATTCTGCGGGATTTATCATTTTTAAACAGGCCAAGTGGGTGGAGCATTGGCTGAGCACACTCATTCTTCTCTTCTCATTGGCTCTATCGAATATGGCTGGGCCCACTGATTTATCTCATTGGTTATTTCAAGTGTAGCCAGGCCCAGTGATTCTCATTGGCTCTTATCAAGTGTGGCTTAAGCAGACATCCCCCACTAATCTCTGGCCTACATATCCTCGGGTGGGGAATTTTCTGCCTTGATTGGGTTTTTCTATCTAGCCGCGTGGGCAGATGCTCAGTCCCTTACCTGCCTCCATTTGCTAGCTTCCTCCTGCCTCAGGAGAAGGGATGATGGTGAGGCCACCCTCCTGGGGGTGATTTCTCACTTTCCCTTGTCTGTCTCTGGGGAGTGCTCGCTCCCTATGACAAAAACCTAAGACAAAGAAAAGAAAGAAAAGCCCCACTGATCTTTCTAGCCTCATATAAACATCAAGCTCATTATCATTTAGGTTCTTTATGCTTCTCCTGTCTGCTCACTCAGAATATTCTGTCTCGGGACCAGCAGATGGCGTAATGGCTACGTCACTGAACTCCCATGTAGATAACCACAGTTCAAGTCCCGGACCTGGTGGCTTAAACGCGCTGGGCGCGTGTGCGTGCGTGCCCAGGATCCTGAGAGGAGAGTGGAGAAGGGATTGCAGCGTGGCCATCCCCCCAGGGGGTGATTTCTTGCTTTCTGTCTCTCTGTCTCTCTCTGGGGAGCGCACACACCCTACAACAAAAAAATCTCCCTAAAAAAAAAATATTCTGCCTCAGAGTTTTGTAAGGCTGAGTCTCTCTTCTGAATTAGGTCTTTTGTTTGTTTGTTTGTTTGTTTATTCATTATTGTAGGTATTTTTGTCATAGGGTACGTATGCCTGCTATGGAGGAGAGAGACAGAGGGAGGAAGAACAGAAAGCAGGAGTTAGGTCCCACTTAATCTCTGTAGGATATAAAAGCAGGTACAGGGGCCGGCCAGTGGCATGGTAGTTAACGGGCGTTGGCCTCCCACAAGTCCGACTGTGGTTTGAGTCCCAGATCTTTCTCTCTTTGTCTCTCTCTCTCTAGAAATATTAAAATAATAATAAAGTTAAATAAAATAATTCTTTTTTTTTTAGAGGTTTTTGCTATAGGGCACATGCGCTCGCCAGACAGAGAGACAGAGAGACAGAAAGGGAGAAATCACCCCCCAGGGGGGATGGCCACACCACAATCCCTTCTCCTCCATTCTCCTCTCGGGATCTTGGGCACGCACGCACACGCGCCCGGCGTGAGTTTAAGCCACCGGGTCCGGGACTCGAACCACGGTCAACTACGTGGGAGTCCAGCGACATAGCCATTACGCTAACTGCTGGTTCCAAATAAAATAATTCTTAAAAAAAAAAAAAAAAAAAGCAGAAGAGACTGTCCCTCAGAATTTGTAGGGGAATTGGCTCTTGGACCTCCTATGGATACAAAAATCTGAGGATTCTTAACTCCCTTATATTATTTTATTTTTTAGCGGGGAGAGGCTTTTCCTATAGGGCGCATGAGCTCTCCAGACAGACAAAGAGAGACAGAGAGACAGAAAGCGAGAAATCACCCCCCAGGGGGATGGCCATGCCACAGTCCCTTCTCCTCCATTCTCCTCTCAGGATATTGGGCACGCACGCACACGCACCTGGCCTGAGTTTTGAGCCAGGTCTGGAACTCAAACTGTGGTGGATTAAGTAGGAGTCCAGCGACGTAACCATGACGCCATCTGCTGATCCCAACACCAGAGTTTGTACTGGAGCTTCTTGATCGAATGTCCATGGGGCCGAACTTCATTTCTAGCCTCCACCTATCCCCTAGAAGTTGGGCTGATACCACATGGTCCAAGGAGCCTACTGTGAATAACAAAGGCCCTCCTACCACTTGGGAAATTTCAGAGGTTTAGATGGTACCTCCTAGAACTGGGTTCAAAGCCCACATCTTCCTTTGGGCAAGGTCAATTCCGATGCTACACAGTAACAATGTGTAGCCTTGGGGCCGGCAGGTGGCGTGGTGGTTTAAGGGCAATGGACTCCCACATGGCTGACTGTGGTTCGAGTCCCAGACCTGGCGGCTTGCTTTCTCACTTTCCCCCTCTCTCTCTCACTCTGTTCCTCTCTGGTCAAATTAAAAAACATAAATAAAT